TCATTGGGAACAGCCAGTATAGATTTATGAAGGGTAAATTGTTGTGGCCAACCTTGTTACTTTCTGTGACAAGGTGACCAGTGCTGTGGGCAAGGGATGGGCGGTGGATGCTGTATGCCTTGATTTTAGCAGGGAATCCCAACGCCATGTCCCATAGTGTCCTTATCATTAAGACAATGAGATAGAGACTGAGTAAGTGAAAAATAATGTGTTGAAAGGTTGGCTGGATTGCTGGGATGAAAGAATCAATCAATGGTGCAAAGTCCAGGTGGCAGCCAGCAAGTATTTTTCGGGGATCAGTGTTAGGATCAGTGCTGTTAAATGTCTTTATTAGTCACCTGCATGATGGGACCGAGTGCACCCTCAGCAGGTTTGTGGACAACAGCAAATTGGGTGGAGTGGTCGATATGCTGGAGCGCAGGGCTCTTACCCAGAGGGACCTGGACAGGCAGGAGAAATGCACCGGCAGAACCTCATGAAGTTCAACAAAGGCAAGCGCCAAGCCCTATATTCGTGACAGAACAACCTCGTGTGACAAGACGGGTTGGACACTAACCAGATACAAAGCGACTTTTGCAGAAAAGTACCTGGAGATCCCAGCCGGCAAAAATCCGAAACTGAGCCACAGTCGTTACAGCAAAGATGACCTTTCCTCCTTCTCCCAGGGAAGTGATCCACCCTCTCTGTTCAGCACCTGGGAGACTGCAGTTGGGTGCTGTGTCCAGTTTGGGGTTCCCCAGTACAAGACCGCAGGGCTCTTACCCAGAGGGACCTGGACAGGCGGGAGAAATGCACCGGCAGAACCTCATGAAGCCCTATATTCGTGACAGAACAACCCCGTGTGACAAGACGGGCTGGACACTAACCAGATACAAAGCGACTTTTGCAGAAAAGTACCTGGAGATCCCAGCCGGCAAAAATCTGAAACTGAGCCACAGTCATTACAGCAAAGATGACCTTTCCTCCTTCTCCCAGGGAAGTGATCCACCCTCTCTGTTCAGCACCTGGGAGACTGCAGTTGGGTGCTGTGTCCAGTTTGGGGTTCCCCAGTACAAGACAGACCCTGACACACCGCAGCAAGTCCAGTGAAGGCCACCGAGCTGGTCAGATGACAGCAGCACGTGGTGTACAATGAGGGGTTAAGGGAACTGGGTTTGGTTCAAGCCAGAGAAGAAAATGCGCAGAGGAGAATGTTACTGCTGTTCACAACTACTGCATCGGAAGACTTGGACAAGATGGAGCCAGACTTTTCTCAGAGGTGCACAATAACAGGCTGAGAGGCAACAGACACCAGACAAAAGCTGGAACCTGGGAAATTCTGTTTAGGTAAAAGGATGGTTTTGGTGTGTTGGTTGGTTTGTTTTTAAACCATGAGCATGGTCAAGTAGTGGAACAGGTTTTCCAGAGAGATTCTGCAGTCTTCTTTCTTGAAGGTGTTCAAGACTACCCTCCTGTCACTATTTAACCCCAGCCAGCAACTAAGCCCCACACAGCCACTCACTCACTCCCCCCCCAGTGGAAGAGAATCCGAAGAATCAAAGCAAGAAAACCCATGGGTTGAGATAAAGACAGTTTAATAGGGAAAGCAAAAGCCGCCCATGCAAGCAAAGCAAACAAGGAATTCATTTAGTACTTCCCATGGGCAGGCGGGTGTTCAGCCATCTCCAGGTACGCAGGGCTCCATCCTGCGTAACGGTGACTTGGGAAGACAAATGCCATAGCTCCGAATGTCCCACCCTTCCTCCTTCTTCCCCCAGCTTTCTGTGCTGAGCATGATGTCATATGGTCTGGGATATCCCTTGCGTCACTGGGGTCAGCTGTCCTGGCTGTGTCCCCTCCCAAGTCCTTGTGCCCCCCCAGCCTACTCACTGGTGGGGTGGGGTGAGGAGCAGAAAAGGCCTCGATGCTCTGTAAGCACTGCTGAGCAGTAGCTAACACATCCCTGTGTTATCTGGGCATAGAATGGGTATAGAATGTGGAAAAAAGTGTATAAAAGTACACCTCAGAGAAGAACATCTACAGTTAAATATCCCTCCCACGGCCTCTTTTTTATCTTTTTTTTCCCTTAATTTATACCTAAGTGCTTACACAGGTTGGAATATGTAAATAGTCTTCAGAGTTGAAACAAAGTAGAGATTTTTAAAGCTGTTTATTCTCTCTCCTTTGCCCTGTTCTATTTTGAAGTTTGACGTTAGTGTCTTTTGAAAGGGAGCATATGGCATTTCTAATTAAGACCTGTGATTTTGTGACATATAACTGAATAATGCATTCGAAACACTGTTAAGCCTTCCAGATGAAAGAATTTTCAGGGCTGAAACACTGTAGCTTTGTGATAGATCTTGCTGGAGTATGTCTGCTATGTAACACTGATCCCCTTAAGAACTTCGAAGAATTTTGCATAGAATACCAGCGTAGTGAGAAAAGAAGGGGTTTGTTTCTTTTGTCTGATGCTAGTATTCCTTGGCGAGCTCAGGTTTGGATCAGATAACAACTAATGTGCTTTGTTCCTGAAAGTATTTGGTGTAGCTCCATTTTTAAACGTTCTGGTCCAGCTGGGGATTTTTTTTCACCTTTATCAGATTTTGTTTCAGGCTGCAAGATTTGTGTGTATATATTTTCATCAGTAGCTCTTGTAGACATACACAGTAGTTCTTCAGTCTCTCCAAAGTAATTGAAATCTCCCCTTTCAGAATTTTGCGCCAAATTGCCTTCCTTTACCTTGAACGTGTGAAACCTTTCTGAAATTGTGGTTTATGATAAATTTCTGGTGTGAGCCAGGTTTGAGATTCTTAATAATATGTACCAGTATCATTAATGCGTACCTTATGTCTCTGAATGGCCGGTGGACTCAGTCTAGAGAAGATTTCCTCAAGATTTTTTTTCCTTGTTTCCATGGGAAGTAGAAGGGCTGCATTTATAATTGATTTCTTTGATCTGGTTAGGCAAATCAGGAGAGGAGAAAATTTGAAAAATGTAATGCATTTAATTGCTTTAACTTAACTTTTTTTAGTTATTACCAGGCCTGGGTGATAAGTGAGGAGATTTGCCTTTACAGTATTTTTGGTAATTTTAAAATGAAAGGAAAGTTGAGTCTTCAAATACATTTCTTCCACTGGAACTTAACGGGTTCCTTTGGTTACTGGGAAACCTTTTGTAGTGATATCGAATTTTAGTTAAAATGATAAATTGGGGGGGGTTAGATCTTCATATTTCCATCTTTAAATCTACTGAATGTTTGCAAAAGATTGGGAAACCTTAAAATCAAGTTTCCTGTAGATTTATGATGAGCGTGGGTGGGTTTTTTTGTCATTTGTTTGGGTGGGTTTTTTGTGGGTTTTGTTTGTTTGTTTTAATTCTAAGGGGAAGTATTTAAATGCAGGTTAGTCTTGTATTTTGGAGCCTGCAAAGCTGTACAAACCAGTTCCAAGCTAAAGTGTTTTACTAATCTAATGTTCAACTTGAAATACAAAGGGATTTCTGATATGCTTCTCTTCTTCTCTCAGACAGCATTTTTGCTGTTAATTGTCCTTGAAATACAGTATGTGCTATCTTTGTCCTCACAGTTCATTGTCAAATTCAAGCACTGATGATATTTTTATTAATTACTTGCATTTGACAATCGCTGAGACTATAAATTAGAAATGTATAATTTAAGGATGAAGACTTAAGAGGATAATTGTGCAAGTACTGAAGATTCTCCTCTACCTGAACTACTGCTGTGGTCTAGATAAAGTTGGAGGTGAAGGGTTTAATGTACCTGAGGAATTAAAGATATTAGGTCAGCAACCAGATGTGACAGAGCTGTGTCGAAGAGAGTACCTAAGGGATTTTGGGAGCAGATGTAGCTTTGGTCCTCCTTTTTCATTTTATTTTAGCTTCTTGAGACAGCTCATTTCATAGGAAAGAGCAGCCGTGGAGACCCTCTAACATCTAAACTGCCCACAGCTTCAGAGACCTCTGAGGATAATGGGGCTGTTGCAGTGTCACTTTTTAGGTTGTGTTTCATAGTGAAGATGTTGAGAATTGGAGCCCTGTCAATGTTTGGTGTTGTGGAAATTGTACTCATGTTTAATTTTTAGCAGTATTTTATTCAAATAAAACTGGGAAAAGTCCAAATAGCAAAACCATGTTCACCTGAGGAGCTGCTCTAAAGAGTTAGACTGTTCAACATACTGTGGGCAGCTGCATAGACCCATAGGACGCTTGGAGACGGCATGGTTACTTGGGTTGGATGATTATTGGAGCACTTTGTCCCAGGCTTGCATTATCCCTTCTGGTTTTGTATATTAGTCGTATAATGACATATATCCCTCCGTAAGTGTTTTATTCTTAATACTTACAAGGTTTCTTTTCCATTTGAAGCATTCTTTTCTGTTCCATGCAATATGACCCTTAATGTCACAGTGGTGTTTTTGCTGGTTTTGCGTCCATGAACTTGTTTCAGTAAAAGAAAAATAAATTTGTGGCTCTGAGTAGACTTCTTGAGATCAGAGTACCACGTGAGAGCAGAGTGGCCCCAAAGCAATGCAGTGTAATGAAGTTGCGTTATCTGCTGTGCTTTAAAAGAGAATTCTCTTTATGTGAAGTCTGGAGTCAAGGTGAATTTTAGATAATACTCGATTGTGAAATTTCATTAAATGCGTAGTTGACAGCCTTGACTCTTTTCTCACATAATGCTTTTCTAGATCCCAGCCCTTTTTCCTGTAACAGCGCTGTGAATTATGCCCTAGCCTTGTTCTTTTAAACTTTATGGTAACTTTATTAATACACTTGTTTTGTCAGGTGGGCTCAACATTCTTTACGGTTCCACGAATATTTTCTATGTCTTTTTGTGGTTTTAAAAGTGATATGTGAGAGCAATTTGTCTGAGACCTATATGTATGCATCTTTAATGTCTCTTCTCTTTGGTAAATCTGTGCATGCTTTTGTTTTCTTGTTTTGTCTTTGGTTTTGTTGTTTGTGTTTGGTTTTTTGTTTTTGTTTTTGTTTTTTTTTTTCAGAGAGTGATAATGAGGACTCCAGTGGCACTGGTGATGTGTCAAAGGATTGTCCTGAGAAGATTTTGTATTCCTGGGGAGAATTACTGGGGAGATGGTAATGCTTCATTTCTTAAATTTAGATTTTTAAATGCTAACCTTTTCTTTGTTTTATAAGACTATATGCTCTCGAGCAGGAAGTTTGAAATTCTTCCGCTTACACAGTTTAAAAACTGAAATAAAAACCACACTTCGCTATGTTTTGTAAACCTAGTTTAAAAGGGACTGGTAAATCCTCTTATTTTAACTTGCAGTTATTTGACATATCTCTCCCACAGCATCTCCGAAAGTCTTGTTTCATTCATTTGAGAATACATCCATGTATGCTCACACTGCAGGGGTGAGTCTTCAAACGCAGAACCTTCTGCAGAGCCTGTGTTCCTTGGGGTCGGGTGTTAAGTTGTTGTGAAACTCAGTGCCTCTTAGTGCTAGGATAGAAAAGACCGGGCAACTCCAATCTGTCCCATCTAAGCCATTTGTGCAGGTGATGTACATTTAATTGATTGGTTTGTTTAGAAGCAGTCTTTCTTTTCTTATTTTTTTTTAACTTGTGCTACATGTAAGCACTTGAAAAGAATTTCTAGAAAGACTCTGATCCTTATTGGAACTGTTTCTGTTGGAGAGTAAAATGAAGAGTATTTGTAAGCCTAGAGTATGTTCTCAACAGTGTTATTTCTGTGGTTTAATTAAGTGCTTCAGTAGCAGCGTATACTTTGCCAAGAGAGGAAAAAGTCTGTGTATTTGCTACCTCTGAGAGACCTTGTACTATTAGCAAATGCCAGAACCACTGATTTGGTTTTCCCTTTGTAAGTAATAGCTCTTGCTGCCTGAGACAAAAATAATCAGAGGCCCTTAATCTGGAATTGGCAAAGTTTCCTTTTCCTAACTCCAAAAAGAGAGCTGAAAAACGTTTCCAGGATTGATTCAGGCAATTCCCCCCTTTACTTGGCCACTTTGTAGCTTTGGAAAAACACAGCCTCCTGCTACTGACCTCATCTTTAATGGAGATCTCATGCAAAGGTTACTAAATGAGACATCACAAGATGTTATTGAACTTAACGGCACCCTTCTCTCCAGAACCCTTCTCTCCTGATTGTTTTTAACTATTTTGTCATCCAAGTTTCTGGCCTTAATGAAAGATCTTTTTGGGGAAGCACAAATATTTAATGGAATGATTGTACAAATATTCTGGCTATGGACCCTCCAAATGCTTGAGAGAACCCTAAGGAAAAGTGACGCAGTCAGTTGATCCCTATAGACAAGTATGTTTTCCTCACCTGCAAAGGCTGTAAACAGATCCACTCTGGAGGTGTTTAGAACTTTAAAGGCAGTTCTAAAGGACACCCCAAGAGCGAGTTATAAATTGTTTGCAATTTTATATCTAGCACCCCAAGGCCAATGAGGAAGACCATCCTGAGTCCTTAAAGAACTCTGTGGCAGGTTTGTTTCGATCTGCATTGAATTTGCATTGGAAGATGATGCTTTTTAATATATTTTTTTTTAAAAAAAAATCATCTATCAGTTGATTCTTTTAGTTTTAACTTTTGCCCTTGATAAATATCTGGACTCCTGTGGATAAGCATGCTGAAGTAAAGAACCACTTACAGCTCATTCTCTCAAGTGTCACATAACCAGCTGTTTCTTCAAGTTACTCGAGTGTACTATTCAGTGAGACAAAACGTTTAAGACTTTTGAAGTAAACTATTTTAAAGTCCTAACATAACTTACACACTTAACTCAGAGAATCACTTAGTAGTTAAACACCTTAGTTAAAATGAGTTAAAATTAGGATGAGAAATGGGAGATCCCAGCCAGCTTGAAGACTGGCAGTAGCAAACATTTTCTTTCGCAGTGTCTCAAGCAATGTTACCTCTTGAGATAAATTCAAGGGTACAAAATACTTGAATTCTTGAATAGTGTTATGTTACATTTTAAGAACAAAACTTGGAAAGAGTAACAGATGAAAAATGTTAACAATTTGAAAACTAAAAATAGATTGAAAGAAAATCTTCTAGTGTATTGGAAACTGCAGCATATGCTAGTGGAATATCTGTGCGCTTGTAAAAAAAGTAAATAAACAAAAATTAACATTTCCACTTGGAGAACTGGTGTGCTGATTTGTCTCTTAGATGAAAAATTTCTTGCACTTTAGTTGCTTCTTGTGATTTCATTAAAATGTCACTGTAACCTAACAGACTGACTCAGCAGAAACATTGCTCCAAGACTCCTCTTCAAACGTGTAAACAGGAATAGGAATAAGAATAAGATAATTTACCTAGTAGATAAAATAAACAGTTGGAAAGTAATGGAATATCTTGTAATTTATTTTACTATTTACTGAATCAAAGTTGTTCTTGCAAGCTGAGCTAGTTTAACTGAGTACTTAACTATTTCTGATGTGCTTTTTTTTATAAAAAGAGTAGTAATGATCAATAGCAGTCTCTGATCAGAAATATTTGTTTGTCAAGTTGTAGCATACTCTGCATTGCTGTTCTGTATCCTTGCTCTCTGATGTTTTAAAAATATGTCTTTGAATTTTGTGCAGGAGAATTACAGCACTTTGTAACAAATTAAAGATGTCAGCATCCATGAATGAGTCATTTTTTTTTTTCTCACGGGCTAAAGGATAAGACTAGAATTAAAACAAGCTTTTATTTCATGCTTGTTTCTGTTAGTCTGGCCAAACAGGTGTCAGAAAATGTCTAGGAATATAAGGTGCCTGGGCCTGTACACAAAGGAGGGAAAAATGCATATTTGTTCATTAGTGTAGAATACAGAGCAAGGATGATTAATGATCGAGCTGTTTCCCAAACAGACATTCAGAAACTGAGAAGTTGTCAATTAAAGTTACAGAATTATGCTTTACTGCATGGACTAATGTTGCTAAAGTATACCTCTACCATAAAACTGTCTAAATATATGACAAATCCAGTAAAATCTGGTGTACTGTAGCATGCTTATTTCTCAGTTGTGAATATGTTCAGTAGTAAGGATGGTATTACAGCATGGAATGTGCATCTCTCTCAGTTGTTGCCGTAAGCTATTTGTATTGTTTTCTTGGGGTTGCTGACAAATTCCCTGTTATGTTTCTACGGGAATGTACCTTTTCAACTGTTTGTTTTATTTTAGCTGCTTGCCTAGTCCTCAGAGAAGGCCTGCTGGGACTCTCATGTAACATATATGACCAAATCCATGTAATAACCAAACTGATCCGAAGTGTGCTATGAATGCTTCATTTTCACACAACTTGAGCTATAAGTTTCTGGTGTATTTTATTTATTTATTCTTGAATGTACATTTCATGATTTTGTAACTGCTTAGAGTGTCTAGTCCTTTTAATATTTCTCTGAATGCTGTTTTGTCTTTCTAGCTTTTTCCCATCACAAGACCATTAGTCTAATGTGACTTGCGGCAAAATGTACTGAAAAAGAGAAAAGGGACTAGTCGGGTTTTAATTTGGCTAACTGAATGATAAAGATTGAGATTACTTGTCTTGCACTACAAGTAACTACAAAATGATTTTTGTGTTTAAAAGAATAAGGGCATTATATAATCACACTCTTTTTTTTAATACTCAAGTCATTTGGAAAGATGGGGATATCATCCTCACAGTGTAGGAAAAAAGTTTATTTAGAGCACCTTTTAAACTTAAACAGTAGTGGTAAACTGTTCACATCTTAATGACCTGTTTCAAAGAATGAGTACTCTAAACATTTACTTAAAATCGAGGGTCAAATTGCAGGTTATTTAATTTAATCGCAGCTTGCTAGCGTTTGCCTAAACTGCCACTCTCACTATTCTCCTACCAGTAGAGTTGAAAACCATAACAATGATCAAAACACTAACAGAGCAAAGCAATTCCTACATTAGAAAAAATAAAGAGTCAATGCATGCAGTCTTCCTGCTGCATTGCTATGAAAATTGCCATAGTAAGTCAAAGTGAGGTTTAGTCTAGATTAGTAAATACTGTTGTCTCAAAAAGGATTTTTAAACATCTGTGACTGAAAGCTCTGCAATATTGTGCATGCGCAGTGATTTTTTTTTATCTCAAATGTATGGGCTCAATCACTGGATTATTTTTGAAAAAAACATCTTTAGTATTCATCTTGTCTGAATACGGCCTTTTCATAGTTCTGTATACCAGCTTTTGTAGGATTAAATACGCGGTGCTGGAAAATAACAAAAGTCATCCTGCAGTTGTTTTCCTTCTTGGTGTGCGTACAAACAGTAAAACACCAGCTCACACTACTAAGCAGATTTATTTGGAACAGTGGGATTTTACGAAGGTATGTGCAAGTGTTAACTGCTCTGTGGGACTTGCAACATACTCTTGGCTTGAAGTGTAAAACTGGAACTTCATGCTAGTACTATTAAAAATGGCTTTTATTTGTTTTCCAAAATTTATTTCTCTGTACAGCTTAGGTTATTTTTAATTTCCTTTTCTTAACCTAAGCTAAACATTTATGTTGAACAAATATTTAAATTGAATTGTCTGCACAGATGGCATAGTTTTCTCTTTCGATTCAAATTGTTCTTCATTAGCCAGTTTAGTTCAATTTCTGCAATTGTCTATTGTTTTAATTTTCATTAATTTCTCTACGCCTAGAGAATTTGGAAATCACTACATTTTGCCACTGGTTCTTACTGTAAATCCGTGCAGAATTTTTGCTTTCCCTCTGACAAATACTAATTAGCATAAACTTTTCTTCCACTGGTGGTGTTGGCAGTTGCCAACTCTGCTTTTCAGAATAATGTTGCAAAGTTTAAAAACTTCTTATATTTTTTTCTTTATCTCGATTCCTACCTCTGTAGTTGAAGTCTAATAGGCAAATGATTGTCTGTTTCTCAGGCACAACAATCTTGTTGTGAGACCAAATGGATTATCTACCCTGGTGAAAAGTGGGGTTCCAGAAGCACTAAGGGCAGAGGTTTGGCAGTTGCTGGCAGGATGCCATGACAACCAGGCAATGCTGGATAAATATAGAGTTCTCATCACAATGGTAAGTGATTTTTTTTTTTTTCCTTTCTTTTTTCTTTGGTTAAAATGAATTCTGCTGAGCAGCAGTTTTATTCAGTGGCAAAATAGCAAAAGCGTGAAAGAGTTTGACTTGTTTAAAGCAACTGAAATTATGATGAGGTGACTTTACCTCCTGCCATGGGTACCTGCTGAATGGCATTAACAATAGGAATTGCTGACCTATGTCTGTAGTAAAGTTTGACATTTAGCTTTCTGTTCGCTTGCTGTGATGGTAATAAGCACATCAGCTTGTTGTTCAGGTGTGTGGTTTGGTTTTTGTTTTTTTTATAAACTCCAATTTGTCGCTTTTTTTTCCCAACAGTTTCTGTTCTCTGCGTGCCTTAATTTTCTGGTTTTGAGTTTAAAAAACCAAACCAAACAAAACCTCACAAAGTTGGGTATTTCTTGTTTTGTTATTTATTTTAAAAAAGAAGTTAAAAACATTTTTACCTAGCAGGAAACCAGTCTCCTTGCTGTATGAGGAGAATCCTTTAGGGAATCTCTTCCCATTCTGTATCCTAATGTCATCAGTGCAAAAACACTGTGCAGCATCAGGAGGTAAGTTCACCATTTGGGATTCTAAAATTCTTGTCACTGCAGGGTAGTTATGCACTCTGAGAAAAACAGCAGTCTTAAAAAGCGGTCATAGTGGCAGAAACGGATGACAATAATTTTATATGTTGCGCTTGGAAAGTGTTGGATTTGTTGTCTAGGGAATGACTCATCTGTCCATACGAAAGTTCTGGGGTAGACATCCTTAGTAAAAGTTTCCATTCATAATGTCATCATACCTTTTTGGTGTTTGCCTTCTTAATTTGACCTACCTGCTATGTTTGTAAAGTTTAAAAGTGCCCCCAGAGGACAGTAAGAGTTGTCCTAGTGGCTTTTTTCCTTTACTAATAAAGAAGGATGTTTTGATAGTGTAAATTTTTCTTTTTGACGTTGTAGTTGGGTTGTATTTTCCTTAGAAACCATTCACAGGACATCTGTCAGCTCTGTTGCATCAAAACCACCTCCATTATTCTGCTCTTGCTTTCTAAAAGTGGGGAAGATGTTTGTTTCACAGCGGAGGAGGGAATGGAAAACTTCTAAAATGCAAGCCTTATCTTGACGCTAGAGCCTCATGCCTTACAAATACCTTGCTACACTTGGCCTTTTTGTGATGGAAATATTTCACTGATGTATATTTTAGAAGATGATACTGCATACAGTATTTAATATGAAATATTATACTGTTACAGATTAGAAAATCAAATCCTATTCAGAACTGAAGCATTTATGCAAACCTCTTTTTTTTCTGAAGTCAATCACTTATTCTGAAATCACAAAATTTCTTCTAGAGTCAGACTGTATATAACTGCTGGTGATCACATCATTTGGCATACATTGCATGTAAGGATTCATGAAAAGAAGTGAACAGGAGAGTCTACGCCAAACCAAAGCTAAGGCACATTTTTAGGCATAGTTAATATTGGGCACTCCCGAAAAACTTGTCAGCTAATTTTTTTAAATGAATTATTATCTGATATTTATGTCTATGAAAACAACTACTTCCAGTTTCGTTTTGGTGTGTTGGCAATGCAAATTAAGCTATGGGTGGCTGGGGGTGGGGGGAAGAGAGGCATGTGTATGTTATTCTCCGACTCCTACTAAAAGCTTTGTTGTAGTGTTATGTGTGTCAATAATAATATGCATGTTAAACTTCAGTTATTTGGGTATTAATGGTTGTTCGCTTGCTTCTCCCATATGAAAGAGCAGAACTGATTTCTTTTTTCTGCATTGTTTGTGTGTTTCCATCCCAATATACCAACAACATATACTTTATTTTTTCTGTAATTATTTATTCTTCTTATCAAATACATAGCTTTCATCTTGATTCTTTTAGATTATGCATATGTTTACACAGATTCTTTGTCTCTGGTCATTCTGCTGAACGGTTCTCTCTTGTTTAGGCTCACTTCTGGAAGCTGAATATTTTTGTGGGTGTCCTGACCACTTTAGTAGTATATTCTGATAGCGTGTGCATTCCTGTAAGACATTTCTAGGTGGTTAGAGGTGGCAGTGTTCTGCACTTGCAGTCCTGAGAACGAAGTATACTGAGATACAAGAAGTAGGAGGTGGGTAGTAACTTCTGTGAACTTGGCCCACTACCTACTTCCCTCCTCATACAACTGCCTCTGGTACAGCGCTCTCCCGTAAACAGCTCCCTCTTACTGCCTGGTTCCCTTGAACATTTCATGTGCGTGGAACCCTGTCCCATACTGCTCCATCTCCTAGCTCATTGCAACACCTCCTTCCTAAGAGCCTGCTTTCCCGACATCCCAGCCCTTTCCCCTTTCTGCTCATCCAGCCTTACCTGCACCCTGTGGCTAAATTGCCAATTGCAGTACCTCAGTGAGAAGGGAAATCCTTAGAAGAATCTCTGCACCCAGGGATTTGTAAGAAAGTAAGTTTATATAGGTGCAGTTGGGGTTTTTTCTCCAGTGGTCAAGATAACATGGCTGAACTGTGTAATGCTGGAGCAAAATGCTGCAGAGTACTGGCGTAATTTATATGGTGTTAGCCAGTACTTACTGGTAAGGTAAGGAATGCCAGGCAGTTTTCTTGAATGAGGCTTGGCTTTAACAGTGTCTTTGACATCTTTGATTTTCTTGATTATGAGATCTAAAGGAATTTTTTTCCTAAAGAAAACTTCAGAGGACTAACTTGAGGAACAAATCTTGGAAACTGGCATTTTACTCTCATAGCTTAAAAGGTGGACCTGATAACGGGAATTACTAGTATTGAACATACGGTACCTCATTTATGACTACCTCTTATGGGGAACAGAGAGAAATCTGATAGAAACTGGAACTTTACTACAGTGTTGCTAGTTAACTCCTAGTGAACCTGTGCTCGCTAGTGGAGGAGGAGAATTGTATTGTTGGCAGGCCAAAAATGTGTTCCTTGATAGGAGACTCTAAACATTTAAATTTATTTTTGAGCCTGTGGTACAGACACATTTGTTGTTCTACTCCAGCTGCATGCAGTTTGTGCTGAAGTAGTATGTTAGATTGGCCAGCTATTATTCACATCACTTAACGGATCTGGAATGCATGTTATACTGTATATATCCATCTGTATGCAGAGCTATCTAAGCTGCTGCAGTATTTTTCAGTTAGCGGAGTGTTTTGTTCAGTGTGTTCGATAGCAGAGAGTAAGTTGGGGCTTGTTTTAGTGTTTCAATTCAGCACAGAAAGCAAAATAAAATTTCTGTCGTCTTTAGAAAAATCAATGCTGTACGCATTTTCTCCAAAAGGCATGTCCTCTAGTCCTCTGCACTGGAGGTCAGAAGTCTGTCAGCAATGATCTAGTGAACTGTGTTTCCTTTCCCATATCGGAGCGTTCACGTGCTGATACATTTCCCATCTCTAGGTGAGTCTGGAGTTCCAGGAGGGAAGGGAGAAAGAGGTACTTCTGCTGTCACAAATACTTTCGTACTGACAAGCGCTATCCTGCTGTATCTTGCGTCTCCTGCCGAGTTCCAGCTCGGTGATTACTGTGAGCCTCTCAGAAATTTTGACGGGAGCACAATAGTAGGTCTTGCATACAATTTTAGAGAGTAGGAGTTGTGATTTGGCAGCTGCTTCGTTTCTGACATGTATGTAAATCTGTACTGTATGACAATCAACATCTGCTTTAGTTACCTTTCTGGCATGTCCGCCATAGGCGTTTGACCCTGCTGCACATAGCAGGAAGGGGAAGATAAAACATACATCATCAGAGATAAATGTGTATTTATTTATTTATTTAAAGGAAAAGACAAAGGCAAATCGGAGTGAGAAAAATCTGCTTATGTGATGATAATGAAGGAGTAATACTGGTACTTGTATGTAGAGCTTTTGTAAAAGCATGTCAGATCTATTTGTTAAAAGAATATATGTAGAAAAACATGCACAAGCTAGGGTCACTTCATTGATAGTTTTTTCCCCTGCCCACTTGACATTATTTCGTGTTCAGCTTCACTGGTTCCTCTCAAGAGACTCAGATGAATTTTTCCGTGATGAGATATATTTTCAGCTCCGATCAGGTGACCAGTGGCAAGCCACAGTTTACCCTGTTTACAGCTGAGGTGACTGGTAATCACCTTCAGCAGTAAAGATGCTCCGCCTTGCCTCACTCTGTCCCTTTCAGAATAGGTATCAGGCACTGTCGATCCGTAAATCATTAGAAATCTGCTGTCACGTGATGGCAGTAACAAAGCAACTTACTGTAGACCACTTGTTGCTTCTGAATTAGGACAGATGTTTTATTTGTTACCTCATATGCTGCCTATTACTATTTTGCTTTTCTGTTGTAGATGGTTGTTCTGGTTTGGCTAAAACAGGACCATTTCTCCTTTCCATAGTGTTTGTTTTGTTTTTTTTTCCCTTCAGTTTTTTAGTAACTGCATTTTCTGAAGCTGACTACAGGTTTTCCAGAGCTGCTGCTCTGGTTTAAGGAAATAAAACTTCTTTTAAATTTATTATTATTTTTTTAAAGTATGATCAGACAAAGAAACCTGGTTTCAGATAAAGTAGATGTTGGTGGTATTATGTCACTCAAAAGCAATGAAAGTTTGCATATGAATGTGAATGCCCATTTTTGAGATGGATGGTGACTTTGAGTCAAAGGTCTTAAAGACTAAATGGTTGTCCTTCCTAATGACTTGTAAGAGAACCAAAAATAAGGTTATTTGTTTATTGTCATAATTTCCTTTGGCAATATGAGCATGTGCCCAGAACAGTTAGAGCTAATAACTAACTAAAGGGTCAGGGTTCAGAAGAGTTGGCCAAAAAATAACTTTGTCTGCTGACTGTGTAATGGTGGTTTGCGTCTGGGCCAATAATGTTTCAAGCCACTCTACAGAAGAGTAAAAATCCGAAGAATTCTTCTGAAGTCTCAAGCAAATGAGAGGGGCATTGATTTGGGGATTAAATACTGCCATATCATGAAAATAAATTA